TGGGGCAGGGTGAGGAGCTGTTATTTCAAAGCTTGACCTCCAAAGGCACATCCAAACTAAAGATTTTCTGTTGTTCTTGTACATCAGTTCTTGTACATCTTGAACTATGTCAGTCCTTGGTCTCAGTGCTAGGTGTGGTTCTGCCCAAGTACTTCCATGGTTCATGTGGTTGTTAGACAGTGGTGAACCACTGAGAATGGATAAGTTTTGTGTTTCTTAAACTTTAGTATTGAATGTAGTTGTGTGCAAGCTGCAAGTTGGTATTGCGCATACAGCTACAGATAAAATTTAGTTTCAAGCTTTCTGTTTGATTTATTCCAATAAATGGTTTTAAGAAGAAACCATGAATAGTCCAGACATAATTGTGCATATGTGCTACCCTGAGGGCTACACCAGTATTTTCACTTCTTTGACTTTCTAAAAAGATGCTGAAGTACAAGAGCCATGAATTGGTATTTCCTTTCTGAATTTCCAGTCTTTCCCTTGTTTTTGTATTAATTCTGTTTTATAAACCCTCTCAACAGTCTTCTTGAAATATGTCCTCTCCTAGAGTCTGGTAATCTCTGATAGCAGTTGCATCACTATCAAATAGAGAAACAAAATAATTCCTTACTATTATAATATTTTTGTTGATAAGGTTAAAGATTAGGGTGGGGTTTTTTTGTTCTTTTACCTACTACATTGCAGTAGGATCTTGATTTTATGCTTTCTATGCTCTCTTGTTTTTCATTGCAACGTATTTGTAGATATGTTTTTCCATTCTGTGATAATTGCCCAGATTGTTTGTGTATGCAGATTTAAAGCTATGCTTTAGTGAAATGCACGTGTTGATGGTGAGCACTTGCGCAGTGCCTTTTACCCTCTCAGTGATCCATCCTGTCATAGCCTCATGTGGGTGAAGGAGACATGTCTAACTTCAAGATCCATGTGAAATTTCAAGTTGTTTGAAGTGTGACAGCACTAGAGTTTCAGAAAATGACTGTAGGAGTATGAGTATGTATGTATGAGTGAAACTAATTTTTCTGGTTGCCTGAAGAACATTTCAGGCTGAGACCCAGGGGCAAAAGGGACCCCAGCCTTTTAGTCCTCAGCCTGGACTAATCCTTAGTTAACACTGCTCAATAGTAAGAGGTTCAGCAGTTTCTATTAACAATAAAGTATGATGGGATTACCAAGAACTTTTAAACATAACAAGGTATAAATTTGGATTAATTTAAATGACTGCTAAAGGATCTCCAACCTGGTTTAATGGAGGAAACAACAATTCTCAGTGTTTCCCTGTGTCAGTAATTTTTTCAACGGTTTTAATGGGCTCTTTAAAGCTGTGAATAATTTTAGTGGTAGGTTTCTGAACCCTACGTGCATAATGTGGCATACTGGATTTGTAAATTTATGTTTGAGTTTACTTTGTTGCTTAATGTATTTGTGTACTGAGATTTTTTGTCATGGGTGACATTAAGTCTTTGTAGTTTTGCCAACTCATAGTTTTCCTAAATGTGTAAATAGATTTTTTTCAAAGCTCTCCTTAGATTCTATGCATCTCTGTAGTACTGAAAGCTAATGTCTGTCTGGCATTTGGGCATTCAGTGGCTGCATTTCTAAGCAATGAATAGTCGTAAATATTAGTGACTTGGCTGATATATTTCTTGTTATTTGGTTATTAGCTTTCTGATCTTTGACATAAAATACATAGGAAAGTTTTTATTTCATTTTGGGCATTTATTTAATTTTATTTAATTTTAGGCAAATTTTTATAGCAATCATCTCTTGTTTAAGAAATACGATTAGTAAAATATGAAACTATTATACTCTCACTAATCTCACTTCTGTTCAAATCTTATTGTCATTACTTTAAATATTGTTATTCAGATAGAGACATCTGCCTTTTGCAAGTACTGTTTTTTGCTAATACAGAAACTCTCTAACACTTCAAGCAAGCACTTTCATAAAAACAGATGGACTGTGAAAAACAAAAGGAATCAGATTTGACTGTTACAGTCGTTTAGATGTCATGCAGACTGCATAAGCTTTTTATGAGGGAGAGAGACAAGTGTGTAAAGTGCTTTTTCTGATAGGTAGAGACTCCTCCTTGTTTACTGGCTGGATGAAAACTCGGTTTTGTTTTGATTGTTAAATTTTCGGCTGGCACCTTCTGTCTTTGTCCTGTCTAGCCAATAAACTAATTAGTTATTATAGTTCATTGTAGCACTAATAGCTTCCTTGGGACTTTGCAAAAATAGGGGGTACCGATACATTAAAATGAGAGAAGGAAGAATCCTTTCACTTAGGTTTTTAAGGAGGTCAGTGGTTTTGTTTGTTTATTTTAAGTTTTGAGTCTTAAGGATTCTTTGAAAAGCTTGTGGATTTTGTACTTTTGGAGCTTTAGGATTCTGGCACTCAGCCAATGCTCTGCTAATAAAAGCTCTTGCCAGATCATATATATCAGTATGCAAACTGAACAGTTTTCTTTTTCTCCTGCTTGCTCTAAAAATTTGTCTTAGTTTTCTTACACCCAACTGTTTTGTGTGGTGAAGATACAGTATCCCTGTAAAAATGTTTGGAGAACAGCAGTATAACGTTGTGAGGAGAAATTTGTTTTAGATATCTTCAGACAATGCTGTACACAGTGGAGATCTTACGATATCTGACTTCATTGTGTCCAGCTAAAATTCCTGGGATTCCTGGATTGACAGAACATGCTTGATTACAAAATGCAACGAGTTCATAATTCAACTGTTGCAGATTTCACTGTTATATTTGGAAAGTACAGAAACGGTTAGAACAATAGATTGTCTTAAGCGCTGCCTAAGTGTTCAGAGAATAATCTGAGAGGTATACATTTTTTAATTTAATTGCCTTAAATAAGATTACCTGGTTTCTTGCATGTTTTGTGAGAGGTGAGGAAGCAGGAACGAAGAACAGAAGTGAATTAACTGCACATTACTGCTTTGCTTTTTTTTGTCATTCAGAACCTCCCTTGTTTGCCCAAAAGGGTCAATATATTTAATCATCTGACATAAGTCTTTTATTTGTTCATAATTTCTTTTTCTTCTTATCCATAAGATGTGTTGTTCATTTCTGGTGAATTTTGAGGACAGTTCACTCAACTTTCCTAATTACTGTAATACAAGCATTAAACAAGTAAATCAAGTTAATGTTTGCTTTATTTCTGTTCAAGTAGGATGTCTCCAAATATGGACATTCCTTATTTAAGTCTGCTGAAGCTCACTAGCTTTAGTAGGTTTGGGTTGTTTTGTTTTGTGTATCACCATAACAGTTTTCTCAAGTGAGTTAGAAGTGGTAATTGAAGTATAAATCTATCAGTACCTACTGTGGAATGCCTGTTAGCACATCTGTAGTGAAAGCTGCAAGCCATTCTCACTGCAGGAAGGAAGCATGCTAAATCTTCACTTTCCCTCTGAAAGAGTTCCTGAGGAGGAGGCAGTCATCCTTTGTGTTGGGACATTTTAAGACTAAACCTCTGACTCTGATTCCCAAATGTGGGATTGTCTGATTACAGCCTGCTCCAGGGCTGTCATTGTCACTCCCAGCCCAGTGAATGATGGGGTAACACCGTGCATCCAGGCAGCTCCTCATGCCGGGCAGGTGCCTGCCTGGTGGTGCCTACTGTAGCTCAGGTAAGTGCCTGTCAAGAAGCACTTGCTGCTAATCAGGAAACAAGGGTGTGGAAGTACTTTCTGAGATAAGTATCAGGAAATGCTCCTACAGCATACCGAGCAGGAATTTGTTCACAGTTTCTTGGAAATTCCTGCCTTGTGTTACATTCAGTCAGGAGAAGCAATGTATTATAAACCTTGCAGTATATACTAACCTGTGCCTTTTAGTGCACTGGCAGGCATCTGTGCTGTATGCTGGAGAGAAGCAAATCTCAAACTCATTTTCTGCAATTGCTTTAAGTGTAATCAGCACTTTTGGAAGCAAGAGGAACCTTTGTCTTGTGAATATATTTCTGTATTTTACCTTGCTTCACTGGGGCTGAATTCTGTAATGAGCGTATTCAGTAGGAGCCCAGCTTCTTGAGACTTGGCTGAACATTGTGCCTAGGAGGGAAAACTGGAGACTGTGTGTTCCTTCTGTGGAAACATCTGCTGTGTTTGGTGTCTTGGAGAGTTAGGGCCTAAAAGGAAATTGATCCCTTGCTCTTCCCCTTCTAATGCTGCCTTCTCCAGTAAGGCTAGCAGCAGCTTTATTCATCTCAGCTCTTTGTATTCCTTTCTATCAGTTCTGGTGCTAGTTATTTGCTTCATTTGAATAATTGATTTGCATGTATAAAAGCCTTTATCGCTCTTAGACCTATGCTGTCATTAGTACATTTTAAAAGTAATAATCTATTCATTCTTGTAATGTCTGAACAACATGAAATGGTGTGCAGGCTATTTATGCTGCTTACTTGGATAATAACAAAATTGTTTTTCAACCATAAAATTTTATTTTCAGGTTGTGTCATGAATCTGGCAGTGTATTTTCTGATCATATCATGCATTGTTACAGATTATTTTGAGATCTACATATCTAAATGTAAACCACTTAAGAAGTATTTCTCCTGCTTTAGTTTCTCTATGCTTTACATCCATTGTTCAGTTGTAGCTAAGAACAATTAGATGTTTTTAGCAGATTGTGAGACAGTATGGACCAGTAACAGCAGGGAGTGGAGAAACAGGCACTGTTAGTTGAAGTAATGAAATCCATAATTTATAGCCCAATATTTTCTTAATAATGGGAGATAAGATATGAGTAAAAGTTGCTTTCTCTTTCAGTTCAATAAATCACCACATCACTTTTTTCATAGGACAATGCAGATCACCTGCCTTTGGCTTCAGGCTAAATAGGGAAGAGAACTGTAGAAAAAATAAATTCATACAGGTTAAACTTCTGTAAGAAAAGTTTGCATGTTGTTCCAGTTGTGTCTCATTTACCTCTTTAGGTTGAAAAAAAGCCAGTGTTATTAATATTGACAAAGTCTAATTTTACCTTCACAGATAAATTTGAGCAGTTTTGGGCAATAAATCGAAAACTCATGGAGTATCCTCCAGAAGATAATGGATTTCGATACATCCCATTTAGAATTTATCAGGTAGGAGACAATAAAATAAAATTAGTCTTCCACTGAGGTGTCATATATTGTAATCTGTTTTCAGAATTATGTGTTTCCTTTTCTAGCATTACGGCAAAACTTAGCACACTCACCTTTGCTGGACCCTTGATTGAGTTGTATGGATTAACAGACAAAATAGATAGTATTTATTCTAATAGGTAATTAGCATTTATTATGTTGCAAGTGTGTAAAACTTGAGAATGTGCCACAATTGGTGTATATGATGTTTGCTCTTTTTTTAAAAACAGTCCAACAACCTAATTCTGTTATTAAAAATAGCTACTAACTATGAAGAATATTTAGTAGGTTTTAGTTTTTAATTTGCATATTTAGGTGCAAAATGCCCTGTGAAAGGTCTAAGCCAAATAATTTTGGAGCAACACTTTTCCCTCAACCACTTTATGGGCTTCTTTTCTTGTAGGCATTTTAAGGTGGAAGTAATTGTATATGTGTTGCATCTAGTTCTTGCCTTTGTCTTCTAGTTGTATACTTACATCCCAAAACTAGCTTTGAATGTGGTTTTTTTTTCCTGTTTTAATACACCAGCACTTTATTTTTCTCAGCATTTTTTTTGCAGACATTCCTTGGAATCCTTACAATTTTTCTTATCTTAAGGACATCTTCTCAGTTTTTATAGCATTGAGATCACAATGAAGTTTGTAATTATGTATGGTTAAAAGCTTATACAAAAATTTGTGTAGCCTCTCTTTAAATTAAACAGTTGTGCTCTGTTGGAATGTTTTAATCTACTTATATTTAAGTTTTGCACCAATGGCTATAAAAAGAAAGTCCTTTATTCATAGTACTGAATATTCTGATACTACTTTGTAACAGGTGTAATGACAATAGAAGCCTATACATTCTTGCAGTGGGACCGGAGTAGCTTTTAATGTTAGATGTAAGACATTTACTGTCATAATGAAACATTAGATTGAGAACGGAAGTCAGTTATTTTGTCAGAGATCACAGCAGGTGGCAAGGTTTGTGTAAGAATCAAAAAGTGTGTATCAGGAAAAGTAGTACTCACAGCATTTGTTTGGTTGGTGACTAAGTTATTTGCTTGTTCTCTGATAGGTGTGGGGTTTTTTCAAAGTCTTCATAGAAATCACGTAAATGGGTTTGTGAAAAAGAGATTTTGCTCTCTGAATAGGTCACAGATCTTTAGGGCATGATGAAAGATTTCTATGATACCACATGATTTCAAGCTAATAAAGCTTTTTAAAACTAAGTAAATCAATAAAATCTATCACTTGAACTAGTAGTACTTAATCTTGATTCCCATTACCTTTTCAACTGGAAACCCTTACTTTCTTTAATTTAAACCCAAAATATCTAACTAAGAATTGAAGACTAAACACAGACAAAGATGATGCTGAGACAACCTTTTTGAGAAGATTGGTATATATTATTTTCAATAATGCTGCTCTTAGCACTTCTAAGAATTTCCAGTCTTTTTAAAAATGTGGGTGCACATCTCAATCTTTTTTGTTTGGTTTGTTAGTATGTGTACTGATTACTGCTCTGTGTGTTTAAAGGAATTTTCAGGAAGCCTTAGGAAGGGTGAGATTGTAATTTAGTTCCAAACAAGAAGTTAGTGACAAACTTGCATATGGAAAAATAACTGATTCTGAAGTGTTCTTCAGATGTATTTAACCCCCATCCTGAATCCTTTTAATTTCCATAAGTGCTGGTAGAAGTCTGCTTATAATTGGTTACTTGTACATCCCTATGTAAACACCTGATCTAACCTGAGTTTGTGTTGCAGTGGATATTTATTCCCCGTGTGTCTTCACACAGTGTTCTTGTAGATACTTAAGGATATACCAGTGGATGGCAGGAAATGATGAGGCATTGTCTTCAATGGGAAGAGTTCCTCCTTGTATTCTTCATACCTTCTATTACGCCAAATAATTAGAAAAAAATTCTGAGAAGGGAACTTCCTACATTGTTTTTGGCAGTATGAGGTGGATGAATTTGTTTTCCTTCAAAAAATTGTTCTAGATTATGATAAAAAATATGAAAAACCACTCTTAGTTGCAATTAAATGTGAAATGGCAAAGTTGTTGCAGAAAAAATGCATTCAATAAAGTGATTTGATAGATTTTTTTTTCTTCACTGAAGAATTCATTATTTTAAAAATTCAAAAAGTCTTTCAGTTGTAAAGTTTGTCTATTAAAATACATTTCTAAAGAATAATGTGAATCATACCTCGTGTGGTGACCAAATCTGATGGTGTGTGGGAGAAAGAAATGGCAAAAATATGAACATCATACTTGGGTAAGTCAGAACTAAACTAACCACAGGTAATTTTAAACACCCTTGTCCACCTCCTCTTTTAAGTATAGCAGCTAAGATTGGACCAGAATCCTGGCATCTACAGTAGATGATATAAAAAAAGGTTGAGAATCATTAAGGATCAACTTGTTTACAATTTTAAAAGTTAGCTATGATGTCTTGGAGATTTAATTGCCAGCTGTCTGCGATATTCTGTTAGCTGTGTTGTATGGAAGTTGAACCAGATAAACCTTTGACATAGGTGGAAACTTTTTCTACCGGAGACAGTTTAAAAATAGTATTATATTTTTGTGATACTTTTAATTTGATGTGTCAAAATAGAAGCTCCCCACTTCACTTCAGAGGTGTAAGCTGCTTTGTCTTCAACTGACAGCTTTTGGTGCACAAAAGCTTTTTTGCCTTTTTATCTGATGCTACTGTAGAATGGAATGCTTTTTGCCCTTGTTCTTTAATGGCAAGAAAGAAAATAATAGTAATGTTTTGAGTATATTTGAGTGTTGTTTTTCATGTCCAGTACTAGAGCTAGTTTGGCTTGTGGAATTTCCCCCCGTGTTTATAAGACCAGCTGATGTTTCACAGTCTGACTGAACAAACTGGCTGATACATGGCGGGAAGTTTTCATCAATCTTTGGCTCCAGGCACTGTGACAGGGCATATTAGTCAGGAGAGGAGTCTCTACGTGCTGATAGTGACTGCTCTGATGAACTGCTGCCTGCTGTGGGAGCATTCTGAGTCTCAGTTGTTGCGCACTTAATTTGTACTCATTCCCCAGTTTTTTGTTTCTTGCTCTCTCCCCATGTCATGCTCACCCACTTCATCATGCTTTTCTCAGGAGTCTGCCCTCTGAGTGTATGGGATTTAAAGCTCTATATTGTATTTCATTCTTGAGATTAAAATTACAAAAGTATTGGAAAGAAAGTGGATGAAAACTCTTCATGCCAAGTTCTCTTGATATTTTTTAGAGTCGCAATTGCTTGAGGCAGGCTGGCTGTTTTGTGTTTGTCATCCCAAAAAGGGATGGTCTGGAATTGTTTGTGTTTCCTGTTATTTAGTACTGAACAAGCATTTCCTTTACTTTCACTTTCTAAGGGTTTTGATTAGCTTATTAATATTATTGTATAGTAGGCCTTAACTTTGGACAGGTTTTCCTACTGTAAGTCCCTTAAGATGTTGAGATTAAGTTGTAGAGTCACAAATTGTTAGGATGTTTATCTTCCTGTGTAACATGAGTGAAATTCTCCATACTTAATAATATATCAGTTAAATTCAACACTTTCCTCTTCATGTCAAAGCTGCAGTATTGAGATGTCTATAAGTAGGCATAAATGTTTACTGTGACATGCCCTCTAAGAGTGGGAGTGGGAAATGAAATATTTTAAGGCATTATTAATATCTGTCTTAATAAATGAATCAGAAGCTCAAGCATGGCCATTTCCAAGCAATTGAAGACTGTTTCATCCATATTTCCACATTTATTGGCAGAGCTCAGATAAGCAATTGCAAAACCCATTGCAAGTATGCAAATCAACAGCACAATTTGGCCCATGTTATGACAGCTAATAAAAAACCTGATCAAAACAGATTGATTGAAGAGATACTGCGTCTACCTGTAGAGTTTTCAAGAAACAATAAATCTACCTTTTTATGCTAGCAGATTATTCATTTTTTTGTTGTTGTTTTTGAAAAGCCACCATTGCATTTCAAGTCTGAATTTGTCTGACTTCAATTTCTAGATTCTGTTTTGCCTTGCCCCACTGTAAAGTCATGTGAATTTCTGACCTCCCATATTCACTTATGGCTTTGTATCAGGCACTTTCGTTGGTAAGCTGAATAAATTGAGGTTTTTAAGCGTCTTGTCATGAGACTTTCTTATCAGTACTAAAGTTGGTTTTTAGTCATCTTTTCAAGTGCTAGCTAATAGTTTGGTAATCCTCAAGATTAATATTGAGGTTAGGGAGACATACAGGGCAAAAGTAAAGCTTATGTTTATAGGATATTAAGCCAAAAATGCTTCAAGCATTGGTGGAATAAAGGTGAAGTTAGCTGCTACTTGAAACTTCAGATCTGGAAAATGTTATGAAAAAAGTTGCAATGCAATAACTTGTCAAGCAAAAGAACCAGAAAATTTGCTGTCGACCTGAAGAGGGCAACACAACACAGCAAGTTCCAGCATTTTGTTGGCTATGTAGAATGTTCTTGAACAGACCTGTATGCAATACCTTATTTTTTTTCTTATTTATTGAAAATGATGCCTTCATAAAGGACCTGCTGAAAATAGACAATTGGTTTCTTAAAAACTTCCTTTTACAAGGAAGATGTTTGAGTGAATAGGAAGATCATGTGAAATGGTCATTTGTTTAACAGATCTGGCCTCAGCTGAATTCTTGTGCTGAAGAGAAACAAATGGACTTTGAGTTATTCTAATAACTGATGGTTCAGTGCTAACAAAACAGTAGCACACTTTCACCAGTTTTAAATTACTTCAAAATCAAAGCTTTATGAATAAGAAAATTTAAAATCTTAAAATATTTTTCTTAGTGCCTCATGATTGAGGAATAAAAAAGAAACATTTCTATCAAGTATTGCACGGGGGCAGCGTGATCCTTAAATACTTGTTTTCTGAAATGGGTTGTTTTGTTCTGTACTGAAAGTAATAGCAATTTGACTAGTTCTCACCTTGAGTT